CAGAATGCTTTGTTATGTAGGGGTGAATTTTTTCATGTGCGATATTCTGCACATGTCTTGAATCTTATTGTTCAAGAAATGTTAAAAGATACCAGTGTCGCTTTAAATAAGATTCAAGATAGTGTGAAATATATTAAAGCAATTGAGGCTAGAATCAAGTTTGGAAAACTTGTTGTACAAATGGGTATGAAAAGCAATGGGATTAAGATTAGATGTTTCCACTATATGGAATTTGACCTTTTTAATGCTTGAAACGACATTAATAAAGTACTAGATGGAAGGCCCGCGTGTTGCCCGGGTATGTTTAGTGGTTGTTTTTGAAGCAGTTTGTAAATAGTTTTATTACAAAGTTTTAGTGGTATGCAAATGCACGTGTTTGCGGGTTATTGGTCGGGCCTGTTTGCAAAGGTTCTCAAATCCCATGTAGTCATGCGCTTCAATCTTCTCGATCATGCTTGATATGCCAACCCCACCAATCAACAGAAGAAAACATCAGTTTCAGACTTTGTCCAAGTAAAATGATATCTGAATGAAAATGATATTATCAAGTCAGGCAACAAAGAGATCAGCACCAACCTAAAGATATTGCACTAACAAATATGGTAAAGGTTAAAATGAAGATGATAAGCAATGCCCTTCCCAATAAAATAATCAGCTTTTTCACAACATGCTGCCAATTAAAGCAGCAACGGTAGCCACAACAACAAAGTAGAGAGCTACCAAAGAAAGTAAAAAATCAATTGAAATTAGATAAACCATAGATCCAACATCTAGATGCAAATTACATTGTGCATTTCTTTGGAAACATGTTTTTCTAATGTTTAGAAATTACAGAAGTACAAATAATTGTGCAATTTGGGTGCCAGTGGGTCGCTTATTGTAAGGGACAAGAAAAAATTTCAAAAGGTAATATTCTACAACTGATATGGATGAGGAGAAGGTCATAGAAAATGTGCACTTGATACCTGCGTAGAAGTCATCAAGAAGATCAAAACTAAAACATAAAATAAAGATAACAATCAACCATTTGTACCTGTAAAGTTTCCTGAAACAAATACATGAGAAGAATCTCTGAGTTTGCAAGGAAAAGAAAAAGCTATCAGAGCAGGTCTAGAGACATAATTTATAAAATACAATGAATCCAACAATGTTTTAAGCTCTTCGAAGAACTTTGAAGATGCTAAAATTTCTATGTACAACTTATTTAGAAACAAAAGAATAGCATTTAAGTGAAAGAACAAACCACAAGCCTTCCAGCAAAATGATGGTAACCTCCTCCTACACCATAATGAGATTTCCCTTTCGTTACATCGAACACTGATCTGATTCAAGAGCACAACCAAATAAACATCAAAATAAGTAACTGCTAAGCAAGTTCTTATAGGTAAAATCACATATAATAGAGAATAAAAGTTAATACCCAAGAATGCCTAAGAGAATCGGTCTCGAGTCATCAATTCTGTTGTACAAAGCCCAATTCTTCTTACACTGAACAATCTCTAAAAGCATAGCAAAATTAATTCACATTCGAATCCAAAATATATGCAAAACTGAATATTTAATCTATATATATAAACAAAGTTTTCTTTAGTCCTTTGGGATGCCACTATTTAATTGTTATTAATATTTAGGTGAATGTGAAGGGACTAACATGAATCTATATATCTTTTAATTAGACCCTTGGATGCCCAATATGTGTTATTAATTCTAATAAATAGAAATTCTAGAGTTGCAACTAAAATCCTACATGGCAATCATATATTAATAGAGCTCCTAAGATTGCATGTGGCATCCTATGTGGAGTCCAAATGGTGATCAATTGAGAGGGTGGGCTTCAGGATTAATACAGATATATAGATTGTTTATTGTTTAATTTTAACTTTTGATACTTAACTATTTAAATGGTACAGGATTTTGACAACTATGAGAGTGAATTTATTACCACTAAGAAATCCAAATTAGATCTTTATTTGGAAGAGACGAGATTTGATCGCGTCAAACATCAGAATTTGGATATCCTCGAGCATTAGAAGAACAATTGTGATCGTTATCTGATACTTGTCATGATGGCTCGTGATATCATCATAATACCAATAACATATGTTGCTTCAGAGTCTGCTTTTAGTATTGGCATTAAAGTGCTCAACAAATATTGAAGCTCACTTCGACCAAAAAATGCAGAATCTTTGATATGCACTCGGACTTGGCTCTATGGATATGAGTTTACAGGTAACATATTAACATAATATTTCATATGTTTTATTATTTACATTTATTAATATTTGTAGTTGATCATTGTTTTGTAGATGACGATGTGAATGATGATTCGGATAATGAACTTGATATACCATTAACTAATACGGGGCTTGTAGAATCAAAAGACTCTACCACCCCCATTGTGGGATGAACATTTGCTGGCCAAGAATGTTTTTTATTGAACAATGTCAAGTCAAGTTAAATTTATCTTTATGTATTTGTATTTGTAGTTTTGTATTTTATGTTATTGACTTATTGTGTTTATTTATGTGTATTAGTGATTATGTATTTGTTTATTTTGGTTGGTATTTGTAATTTTGTATTTTATGTTATTGACTTATTATGTTTGTTTATGTGTATTAGTGATTAAGTATTTGTTTATTTTGGTTGGTATTTGTTTATGTGAATTAAATTGAATTTAGAGTAGTTGATTGTGGGGGTGTAATTGTAAAAATTAAAACTGCAGGAATTTTGGGGATGTAACTGTGATATTGAAAACTACTGGCGGTGAAAATGCAAAAATTGAAATCTGGAGAGAGAGAAAACGGGCACCCGTGGTTCCACCCATACCCGCATAGGGTAGGGTACGGGTACCCGTTTAGGGCTCGTACCTGTGAGACCCGTACCCATACTTGGCCCACCAACTTGTTTTGCCAAGTCTACTTATACCCACCATATTAGCATAGGTCCAAGCAAAGACATCCAGGTTTGCCTTAAAAAAAAATTAACTAGTTGTTTAAACAACTCTCCATCGAGGTTACCCTCAATCTTGAGTGTGCGAGTAGGTTCTCGCTCGTTGATGGGGACCTCGCGCAACTCCTCCACTAGGCTAGTTGAGGTTTTGTCCTTGTGAATGCGAGGATCAGTGGTATCCTCGACTGGTCTAGGCTACAACTCGGTCCTCACGATCACCATTGTTTGAGGTCGTCTCTCCTTTTTAGCAAAGGTGATTGCTCGGTTGTAACATTCCCTATAGTCTTTTAGCGATCCCTTGACTATTCCTACTCTAGTTGGAGCGGAGAACTTCATCACCTGATCGTGAATTGAAGTAACTGCTCTCAAGTCTTTAAGGAGCAGTTTGCCAATCACTACATTGTATGCTGACATGTAGTCAACTATTAGGAAATCCGCCATCAGCTTCGCCATGTGCTGCTCCTCAACCATTGTGATGGACAGTATGATTTTTCCTTTGGAGGGGTGGGGTGTGGGTGAATAAGACGCTTGAGAATGCTTTGCATCCATCACCCTTCTCTTCTGGCGGATAGGTCGAGCCTCCAGGCCGATATTTAACTTGTGGCACATGACCTCGGGGCTTATACCCCTTTACAATGAATTTGAGGAGGTTTATGTAGTGCGTAATGAATAACGGTTACAAGAGGAAAACCAAGGATAAGGGCCTGACTTTAAGGAGTTAATCCCATGGTTGTAGGTGTTGCCATTAAAGTGAAATTTTTAGGAGTCATGCCTATATTTTCTCTTTGATTTTAGGGGATAAGGCTTATTAGTGGTGATAAGGTTTATCCTTGACTCATAAGACAACCACCCAAGAGGTCGCTTCAGCTTGGACATAACTCGCTTCAATCTACCCGCAACTCGCTTCAATTTGGTCGTCACCATAAGTTACACTGAGCTACAGCTCGCTCTAAGCTACCGCTTGTTCCGAGGTGGTTGCACAACCTGGCACAACAATATCAAATTTCAAGATGTACAGCGTAGAAAACGTTTGTTCTATGTTGTTGTTCTCAGTTATTTTTTCACTGTATAATTGTAGAATTGAAGTTAGTTTGAATAAAGTTGAATTGTATTCAACAACTGTCTTGTAGTCTTAAGATCTGAAGTTAGATTCATTTATATTAAGCACGAGGGAGGAAGATGTCTCTTTGACAATCAATTAATTCCTTCAAATTCTTCCACCAAATTAGTAGAGTTTTCTATAGTGATTTATTGAGTCTTTGAGCTTTCATCTAAATGGGGTGGTAGAGAAACTAAAAAGCCTTTGACTTATCTTACGTAGAAGCTTGATTATTCACTTTGATTGTTTCTTTAAGATTAACGAATCGAAAATGATGTGCACCTTGCTTTGCCTATGGGAGATAAGAATATTCATCATCTTGATTGAGTGTTGTAAATTGTAGACTTGAAATATTCATCAAGCTTCTAGGTAAGATATGTAACTTATTTGTGACGACAAAGCATACTTATAAGGACAGTCGTATAGAATTACATACGATAAAATATCGAGTTAGAGAGCTCTCCTGTGGTGTAAAATAGAGTGGAATGTAATATATGAGAGTATGGAAGGTTCAAAGGGAAGATTCTATGCAAGTTATGCACATGCTAAGAAACGTGTCACTTATTTACATAGAAAATGATAAGATAATATCCTTCAATTGACATGTTATTTTTCTTTTATTAATAAGTTGATATTATTTTATATGCATGATAAATATTTGAATGTCATACATATATATGCTTTCATGTTTTGATAATGATATCAATGTGGAAATTTAACTTGGAAGAGGGTAAGTCAGAAAAGGTGGGCTACTGAACAGTGCACACGTGAGTGAAGTATTTGTAGTGGAAGATGAAGATGGTAGATATGAATATGTAGTAGGTATGGTCAATTAATTCAATAAAAAGTGTGAAAACGAGAAGTTCCAAACTTTGAACAAAAGAGTGTTGACAGCTAAAACTGACCCTACCATGATAAAGATGCTTGGCATCTTTTATTTTAACTTATTCTATTTGTGGTTGTGTTGTGGCCAACAGTTTCATTCAACAACTCACACATGTCTTATAACAATTCAACATAACTTACCTTATTAAATAATCAGAAATGGAGATCAACCCTAGCTTATTTATTTGACATTTCATACATGTAATTAAAGCAGGGGCCTTTTGATGGGATGGAATGGGACCCTTCTAATCCTTTTATTCCCCATATCAACCCTGCTTACTCCCTAATTTCTAATTCTACAAACAAAATAATACAACTACCAACAACTTCACCACATCATAATCAAAACACCAAAAACTAACTAATTCAACAATGTCTTCTCCATCACCCCAACAGACAGAGTGAGAGAGAGAGAGACAGCTCAACCATGTTGATGACAAGTTTGCAATGTAACTAGAACCAGATTGAGGAATCCTGCTTTGGCAGACTACCGATTCCTACTGCTTGTAGATCCTCTTTATAATCAAATGATCCTAAATCAAATGGCGAACCAAACATTAACTGGAAACTATTGTTGTTGTGGTTCGCCTCAAATGGAGAGTTCATTATCTTAAACCTGTCGAATTGACCTTCCTCTCGGGGAAACATCTGATGATTATCAGTCATGTTGGATCCTTCAAACAAGTTCCCATCCATCCCCACTCCTTGTCCATGGAAATAATTGTCCTGTTGATGCTGAACTTTTTGCTGAAGAGGATTTTGACTTTCTGTCACTGCTGCAGTGTTACTGGGAGTAACATTCCTGTTGCCTTGGATATTGTTATCGTAGTTTGACATGAGCTCACTTATCATTTTCTGTCCATCTTCTGGAACTCCAAGTCCTGATATGTCGAAAGGTTGCACTGAATTATATGATGGACCAGTTGACTTGGACTGTGCAAATGTTTGAGGGAAGATAACTGGTTTTACTTCATTAACATGAAAATTGGACCCTCCAAATTCTGAAGAATTGTTTCTGTATGGGCAAGTCAATTGGTGATTGTCCCTGGAAGTCCTGTCATGATAGCCCAAGCGGGGTTCACTGTAAGGACACTGAAGGTACTCACATGTATAGATCTTGTGTTCCATCGCCATGCTAATTTCAGTGGATGGCTTCCTTTTCCGAACAAAATCAAAGTTTGTAACAACTTCTCCCTTAATTGGAAAAGATGGTTGCCGAACTGGAAGCCTGTCCCTCACTCTTTCCATCCCCAAATTGGAAGAAATGAGATTCTCTGGTTTACGCTCTTGGACATCAAAGTTTGGTTCATCTTCAGCCCCATCAACATCATACTCATTGCAGTCATTGATCACCAAAGACCCGCTTCCCCCAGCAGATAACAAAGGGTGGCAGGTTTCAGGATAAAGCTCTCGAGCCAAGGCCTCCTCCTGGTTGATGATGGCAAGCCATGTGGCACTCTCCTTGGCTGTCATCTTGTCCTGCAAGCACTTAGATTGCCTCACAAGCTTGCGAATCTTGGCAATATCTGGGGACATATGCTTAATCACAGCTGTTAGAACACCCACTTTCCATGCCTTCTTCAGGTCATGAGGCTTCTTGTAAGGTGGAGCGCCTTGATCCTTTGGCAAACCCAATTGAGGCCACCATTCCTCATTTCCAGTGGGCCACCATGGTGGGGAAACACCTTTCTCCAATGGAAATCGCCTCTGAGGAGGATCACAATGCTGCATGAGTGCTGACAACAGTGAACCTAGGGTGGTGTCTTGAAGCTCTTGCAAGGTGTGAGGAGTTGGACCAATTGAATTACAGCCCTCATTCTTGCCAGGGATTGAATTATCGGCTTGATACTTGGCTATAGCGGCTGGACCATTGCGATCAAACCTGACCTTATCCTTCCACCATTCTCGAAGATTGTCAGATGCCCCAGTCACAGGCTTTCCTTTCTCGGGAATAATCCCATAAACAAAACCTTGAGCTTTACAAACTTCCATCATCTTCAACATGTATTTCAAGATCCCATCTTGAGCCCTGGACATCTTCTTCCTCCTCGCTTGCTCTTGGGACTGACGCTGCTTAGCTATATCAATTCCCTCCTTACCCTTAGTTTGTTCTTTAAGCCTTTTGAGACGCATTTTGTCCTTCCACATTCTCCTTTCAAGCTCATCAACATCAATCTCTTCATCAGAATAATCATCCTCCACAGTTGCCTCTGGTTCAGTTTGTGTGGGGACCATATCTGACTCCCCCATAGGAGCGGAGAAGAAACTCATATCTCCACAAAGACCCATCTCATCAAACATTAACATCATTTCCAAAAGTTACCCCCAAGAAACTTAAAATTTGCAAGAGCCTCTGTTAGGACTCAACCACAAACTTAAAGCTCTCAAGCTAACTTCCACCTTTCCTCTCCAATAAGCACAAACTGAAAACTCGATTTGCCAATTTTCACTGCCTTCTGACCTGTGTACATCATTACATTAAAAACATCAAAAACTTACTAAGAATGAAATAGATTCTTTACTCGTAGGCTCATAAAAACTGTTGACATCACAGTCTAAAGTTAAAAACATAAATTAATCTAGCATTAACAGCAAAAAGAATAAGAAACAATAAAGATCAAGCACCAATAATTCATTAATGATCCCTCGAGACAGCGTCTGATTAAAGTAAGATATATCCTTGGAATATAATCTCCAGACAAAATCATAACTTTTCTTCAATAAAAAGATATTACTCCATCAAAATTCAAAGAGACTTATTTTTCCCAGAAACTAACAGAGGCCAAACAAAGATAGTACACGAAACAACATAGATCCAGGCAACCTCCATGAAACATCACAAGCAGAAGCTGAACTCAAGCTATGAAACAACAAAATAATTTTCATTTCAAACAAAATTTACATCACTGCGAATATATTGATTCCCGCGAAAAAAAAAAATATATATATATATATATATAAAGTAAAGCAGATGAATGAAAAAAAGAGATCCAATACTTAAATTCAAACATCAGCAACTGGAGGTCAGATCTTACCATATAACAAGTTGACATGCCAATAAATTTCAGGGAAGATAAGAAAGGGAATTCCCAAGAAAAAAGAAGTCAGACCGATCTGAAGCAGATTGGATCTGATGATGCAAAGAAAATCAATCCACAAATCCCATATCAAAGTTTAAGCAGTAAACTAAAGCAACAACGAAGCTTGAATCAAAAGAGTCAATCAGAATCAGAAACAAAAGAAAAACAAGCCAACAGAGAAAGAAGAAAAGATTGAAATGGAATGGAATAAAAGAAGTTTTACCAGGAAGAGACGGGTCTAGGAGAGGAACTGAAAGTCAATAATGGAATAAGAAAGAGAGGTGAAAGTATAATAATAAACTAAAAGAAAAGAAAAGTTAATCCAATTCCAATCTAAGCATTGGGATGGCAGAGTGAGTGGGGACGGTGTTTCCCTCGTCGTTTTGCGTTTTATAGTGTTTCTAAATATGTAATTGACCACTTACACTGTCCCTCTTACTGGGAATTCATTTACTCCATTTTTGGGATTTGGATTTCATTTTCCCTCAATTGGCGACCTTTTATTCAATTACAATTAAACCTTTACACTCTACCTTATCCTCAATTTTTTTTTTAAGAAAAACTCATTTAATGCTTCCATCACTTCTACTCAATCTTATCCATTCACTTTCCATTGCCCAATAATAATTAATGTTTATTAAGGCCAAGCTCCAGTTTAAAAGCTTCAGGATTGTTCAAGGAAGCCCAATAAGGCCCAAATGGGCTCAGTTGAAGAATTAACTGAGCCCATTTGGAGGTATTTCAGTTTTCGAAGACTCTTATTACACTCAAATATTTCTTTAAGGGGTTTACCTAATTGGATATTTTGGTTTAATAAAAAACCTAAGATCTTCAAATTTCTGGCAAAATATATTTTTCCTATTGACATGGGCTTCAAACGTACTATTTTACCCTATGTAGGTCAAGGAATCCAAAATCAATAATGCTAGATGTACAATGAAATTTTATAAAGATTTTTGTACAAAGTCATATGACAAGAAATGAATGGAAGAGTAAATATGATGAGTTTGACTTTTTATGTTCACTCTTCTATTCATTTCTTGCCGCATTACTTTGTACATAAATCTTTGTAAGATTTCTTTATACATGTAGCATTACTCATTCAAAATACCGCTATAACGTAGCTTGTGTCACGCCCATGTTGAGATTTCATTAAAATATAATTTTTTATATTTCTTATTTTTTACACATAGCAAAAAACGAAAAACCTACAACATTACAATTTCAAATCTCATAATAAAAAATAAAAAAAAATTCCTCTTCCATTGGGTTCCCTAAAACAATTTCAGTTTGTTAGTCTAAAATGTGTTGATTAGTGGATTTATTAAAAACATTATTGAGAATGGAAGTCTCACTTCTCTTTGGTTTGATAATTGGCACCCTAATGACCCTTGTTATGTAAGTATGGTGATCAAATTATTTATGACTTGGGTATTGATAAAATTGTTAGAGTTTGTGATGTGATTGATGACTTATGTTGGAGATGGCCAGTGGCAAATTTGAAATTTGTGGGCTCTTATGGACATGATTAATTTCATAAACTTTAGACCTTCTCTTGTGAAGATAAAGTCACTTGGACTCCATCTTCTTCGGGGTGTTTTTCTATTAAATCAACTTGGGAGGTTACTAGAGGGAGGACACCGAGGGTGGATTGGTGTGACCTTATTTGGTGCCATAATTCTATTCACATGCTATGATTGTTTTGATGACTATATAAAAGGAAGACTCCCCACAAAGAATAAGCTTATGAGGCATGGTGTTACTTCTAATGCTAATTGTTATTGTTGCAATATGGGACAAGATTCTTTAGATAATCTTTTCTTTGCTTGTCCATTCACTAATTCCATATGGTGTAGTATTCTTGAGTTAGCTCATTTGGAGTATTTAGTAAGACCTTGGCTTGATTATACATTAAGTTTTGCTAGAAGATGGAAAGGACAAAAGCTCAAATATGCTATTGCTAAGCTTTGTTTGGGAGCTACAGTGTATTGGGTGAGGAGGAAGAGAAATAGTAGGATGTTTGGGGCAAAGTGTAAGGATATATGTTCTATTATTGATTCGATCAAGTGCATTGTGAGAGAAAGAGCTATGGACTTTAAAAACTTCAAGGCCTTCTTTAGTAATAGGACTTTGGCAGACTCATGGGGCCTCCCTAGGGTTGTTTTCAAGTCCTCCTCCTTTATTCCCGCTCTTGTCAATTGATGCCTCCTCGGATCAACCGTTCCTTGGTTGAAGATTGAGTTGTTTTGGGTTCTTTTTTTGAGTTTCCTTGTATTTTCTTTTGTTTTGCTAAGTACTGTTCCTAACCCAGGTCATGTCTTGAGGTAGGATTTTTTGTTTGGTTTGGTTCCTTCTGGCTTTGAGCTGTTGGCTCCTCTTGGTTCCAGTCTTTTGTTTTTGAAGGTTGTAAAACAAGAGGAGTGAGTGTTTCTGGGAGTGATAATAGTTGCCGCCATTATGGTATTTCAAAATACCAAGTGTTAATTGCTTTTTGGACTATTATGCAATTAGTGTAATGACCATTTTTTGAGCTTTAATAGGCGAGTGGCAGTTTCTATTACTTTTAATTTAATAGGTGACTGTTTTTTTTTTTTTTTTATTGAATTTATGGGTGGCTATCATGAGATTGACAGTTTCAATTGTTATAATATTAATAAATTGGAGTAATTTGGCTGTTATTATATTAATTCTTGAGAGAGTAACATCCAAATATTTTGTATATAAAAGGACTGATTCCTTTTCATTTGTGTGAGACACCAATTATTTTTTGCTCCCATTTTCATATTGTGTCAAAACACTTTTTGCTTCTCTATTACTGTTCTAAATCTCTATTAGAGTGTACACTCTAAAATGAGGTTTGTCATTGTATCCTAGAGGTCAGTCCGCTATTGAACCTTTTTGCACCACGAAGATTCTTCTAATAGGGGCATAATTCTGATCTTAAGGATAGTGCTTTTGTATGCCTTGATGCTGCTGTATCATTATTGTTTTACTACTGTTGTTCGTTGTTGTTTCACTGCTGTATCATTACTGTTTTGCGGTTGTTTTTCCTGTTGTTCTCACTACTGTCTTGCTGCTATTTTTACTACTGCTCTCCTGCTATTTTACTGCTATTCTTCTGCTGTTTTGTTGTTCTTCTTCAACTTTTTTGTTGCTTATTTGTATTAAAATTCAACACTGGGTAGCCTTGGTTAAGGTGTGCTTTCAGTGTTTGGTTTTGTGTTGGTGCTTTGTTTTGTTTTTGGCTTTAGTTGTCTAGTTTAGCATTTTGTTAGTAGTCTTAGTGATTAATTGATTATTTTGAGTCTAACCTGGGGTTTATCCTATGGCGAGTTGGCCTTTTTTTATATGGCCTCTTGTAAATTCTTTCCTTTTCTTATGAATACTTACCAAAAAAGTCTAAAAGGTGTTGTCCAAAGGAAATTTAATTGAAATGCTCCAACTTTAAAGATTATTCTCTCACAAGATTTACAATTCCTTTTTTTAAAAGAGTTTAATTTCTTTGAAGTAATTATATTTCATTGAAAGCTCTCAAGGGTAGTTGGGTAAAATCCTACTTTCCTTTACTGAATTTTAGTTCATTCATTTATTTTTGTCAAGAGATAAATAATTTAGCTCTTATTTCTTATCATATCTTCAAAGAACTTTATACCCGAAAGTACTCTCTATTTTATTTTATTTTAGCAATTATCCTAAGATAAATCACATTTTTATGTTATAATGTTATTTATAAAATTATTTTGTTTATTATAAAATAATTTTCTAAAGATATTCTTCAAAAAAAGACTCTTTGATAAAATTATTATTTTTCTTTTATCCAATGAACCTAGACAACCTAGTATCTAGATTATTTTTATTAATGCATTTATTTCATTGATATACATCTTTTATTTTAATTATTATTTTCCTAAAATGAATCTACACTCCTTTCAGTCTTTATTATTTTTTTAATAATTTATATGTCATATAAATCACTTCATTGAATTATCTCATGATCCTATTTTATTTAAATTATCTCTTTGTGAAGAGTTTTGTCTCTTATCTCCAGCCTCCTATATAGATGCTAGAGTTTATATTCAATCGACAATCTAATTCCCTTCACATATGTTGGAAATCAATAGCCAAGCGGTGGATGAACATTAGCAGCTCGACAGAGGAAAAAAGCACGACAGAAACAACAAAACATACTTAGTTTTTTTTTTTTTTTTTTTTTATTTAAAAAAGACATGCATTTTGATTTTTGAACAATAGAAATGTCGTCTTCAAGGGCAAAGTTTATTAGTACTGTGCTTCAATTTTCGATCTTCATCTTGTTAGGTTTCAAGAGAAAATGGGTTTTTGATTGCACATAAACGCTAGGGTTTGCCTATAAAAAAGAAAATTTAATTTCTTTTTTGATAAGCTAGCAAAATAGGAAACCCTAAGCACAAACCATGAGTGAGGCTTTTGAAGGAGTGGAGAAGAGCTTAGAAGACTGAAGAGTGTTGAAAGCTTTCAAACAATCTTTAAGCCTATTAAATGCTACATCTTTTGTTCCTATTAATCGACATAATCATTGTTGTAAGATAATGGCCTAATAATAACTGAATATTTTACTTTTATTAAAACACTTATATTGCATATAGTCATATATTCACTTAGTTGAGATAACATCAGAATTTATGGTTGGTGGTACTATTTACTTTGTGTGGTTTAATTTTGAGATTGGTTCCAACCCTTAATGTATCAAAAGTAAGAGAGGGTTGAAGATAAGTTTTTGGTGCTGTAGCAATTCAATTTATAATTGTTAAATGAGCAATTCAGTTCAGTTTTTGGTCACCTAAGGGTATTCAATGGATCATAGGGATTAATTAAAGTGCGTATAAACAGACTCCGATTACAAAAAAGTATGATCCATTGAATACCCTATGACCCCAAAGTTTGAATCCTAAAACTTAAAAAAGAGAGCAAACCTCCTGGACCAACTGACCAACACTTCTTGAGTCTAATTTAATCATTGTTTCATCTAATATTTGGCGGGTAGACTCTACTGCTAGTACTGTTCACATTTGTAACGCTTTGCAGGAATTCAGAAAAAAGGTCAATCTCAACCGAAGGATGCTCACCATAGGTAATGGTGTACAAGCAAAAGTCGTTGGAGTCGTACATTTGGTTCTTAGTAATGGTTTCATTTTAGATTTTGAAGATGTCTTATTTGTACCTTCGATATATAGAAATCTAATTTATGTTCCTAGATTGAACAAATTGATCTATTACTTCATTTCAGTAAAAGTACTTTAATTTTGTTTTATGATTCCAAATTTATTGGTTTTGGTTTATTACTAAATGATCTTTATCTTTTAAATCTTCATCCACAATTTTCTTAATCTTTATTATTAATGTGAGTACTAAATGAAATGTAGCCATGATATCAATGCTTTTATGCTATGGAATAGAGGTTTAGGCCATATTTCTAAAGAGAGAGTAGAAAAATTGGTAAAAATGGGAATTTTGAACTTATTAGACTTCTCAGATTATAGCCTTGCATTAATTGTGCCAAAGGAAAATTAACCAAATCAAAAATAAAATGGTTATACTACAAGTAATGATCTTTCAAAGATCATACACCCAAATACATATGACAATTTCTAAAAATGCAAGGAAATATATTATTACATTCAATAATGACTATTCTAGCTATGGTTATATGTATTTAATTAGTGAAAGTAATCATATTATCTCCTATATTATCAACAG